GTGAACAGAACACAGAGATTTGTGAATTGTCAGCGTTAGGAGAAGCCTGAGAGCACCTGAGATTTAAAAGGGAGTCCTTGTAGCACAAGAAAAGGAGAGAAGTAAAGAATAACTGTTGGTGAGCACCCAGCATCAATGGGAAGAGAGAGGACAGAAGGCATGGGAAGTACAGACTGAGCAGCCAGGAAAAAAAGCAGGAGAGACCATGCCGAGTAAACAGGGAATGTCAGGAATCGTCCAGCCCATCAAATGCTGTGGAGAGAATCTTTTCATGACATATAGGACTGACTGAACTGGTTTCTTATATTAAATGACAGTTCAGCTTCTCATTCCCACAGCATAGGAATCGTATAGCAAACTTTGACAAAACTGCTACTCATTCATCACATAGAATTCATCAAAAGTTAAAGAGAGATTCTTTGAGGAATGCGAATTCACAGTTCCCTCTGATGTTATTAAGCTTAATGTAATACTTCTTCAGCAATCAACATTTTTTTTCTTAAAACTGAGTAATCCAGGGTCTTGACAAAGAAAGCAATCAGAATTAAACTCTCATGTGCACACACACACACTAAATAAACCTAGAACAACAACAGCTGTTGTCAAGGGAATGACTAGGATGAAGATATCAAATAAAAGAGGGGAGCGCTAACGTCTGTTAGAACATTAGAATAGGCTTATGGTTGCAACAGATTTAGAATCCTGAGACCTCCTAACGTGGACCTGAATAGCACCCCTGGCTCCTGAGTAGGCCCAGGGGGTCAGTGGCGGCTATGCAGCCAAATTTAAATGGCCTAATTTCCTGTAACCTTGGAAATGCGGCCTTGGTAGGTTCTCCCCAAGATTGTATAAAGAGGCAAAGCAAGCTGTTTAAGAGGTGATAGTTACAGGCAAACCTCTAGAATTCTAGAGGAATCAAGGACTAATAGGAACTTGAAAAAAACAGCAATTTCACAACAGTGGTCCTTGGTATACAAGTGTCAGGGCTGGAAACACCATGAGCCCCGATTTCTAGTAAGGTGCTGGCAGTCCATGGGGCCAATGTAAAGTGATGTGCTTTGTAAAAATACAGACCATGGAGTAGGGAAAACATTTTGAAAAGAAGCAGAATGAGGAATGATTATCTTATGGAGCCCTGTTTCTGCTCCCTTTTTTCCATTCTGTGCCTGCCTCAAAGTAATAGAACCACCATCCACTCAAACTGTAAGCTTCGACTCAGG